TTGTGATGCATAAATGAAGCATTTAAGCCGGGCAAACAGTGTAAGCGCTCAAAAAAGGATTAGTTGAATCAGCTTAGGGAAAATGTCAGTCTCTTTCTGTCACCTAATTTCTCCCAGCGAAGAACACAGAAATAAATTCCATGGGGCCAAACAGGAAATGTAATCCTTCCTTGGAAGGGATACAAGTCTGGGCTTTATGTTTGATTACAAAGGATGAAATAATGACACAGCCTTCCAGCCTGTCGTCTGCAGATGTGTTATAATCTCACACATTTAACTTAACCAGGAAGACACATTCAGTCAACCCCTGCTAATATTTCTAATCAAGACCCTCGGGCTTGCTTACAAACAATTAATGCTAACAACTGCAATATAAACCAAAAAAAAAAAAATTATAAATAAACACCCCCGTTATTCTTCCTAGTAACAAGTAGAGACTTCCTTCTCTATGTACCATGCAGAGAGAAATTCTAAGATGAGACTATAACAATAGCGCCAGGCCAAGTCAGCTTTTAAGATCATTTTTGGCAAGCCTGTGAATTCATGAATATAAAACGTGACTTTTTTACAAACTGCATTTATTTTTATCTTTAGGTAATAACTGTTCTACGGATTCGTCGTTAAAAGCCTGACTCAAGACTGGGTCACCTTGAGAGAGGAGAATCTGAAATTGGAGATGATCTCGAGATGAATTCTTAGCTCGTCTGGAGAGAGAGGCTGAGGTATGCGGAGAAGCTTCCAAAGAACGCACTGCAGCCCAGAAAGATGGCAGCCGAGAGCAGACACCATCGAGCCGGACTATCAGAACAGATACACGCAGGACACACAGTGCTCTCATCCACGACCCACGAGATAAATTTAGCGTGACTAAGAAGGAAGCAATCTCTTGCATTACGGGCTACAAAGTTGTGAAAGTTGTCACTGTCGGAAGTGGTAAATGCTAAAAATATAAATATACAAATCAGCTCAGGAACTGACGTGAGATTTTTCCACCTTCAGCAATTAGAGAAGCTGCTTGTTCTCTACTAAGTCTCCTGCCAAGGACCTTCAAATTGTCTTTGCAATTTTTTTTTTCCATATACAACGTCTGGCTTTCAATTGAAAAACATAACATTCATACAAGAAGACAAGATCAAATGAGCGAATATCAAGACCAAATGGAATAAAAGAGACAGAACAAAACCTACAGGAAACCCAGATATGCAATTTATCAGACATCAATTAAATGTCAGAAATACTTTAAATGAGATGAAGGAAAAGATAGAGAATTTCAATGTCGGATTGAAACTGCACTCACAAAAATCTGATGTTTATTTGAACTAAAAACACAGTAACAGAAACTAAGGGCTTTGGATGTGGTT